ACCTGCTGTCCCCAAACTGATGGCACCCACAGGGAAAGTCATCCCCATCACTGAGCTGATGGGTCCCTTCTGGACTGATTTCCTGTTGGGTTTCATGTTGAGATGTGGAGAACTCTGTGTGAGGGGCAAGGCTGCTCTCCAGATGTTATTTTTCACCATTAGGCAGTGTTTAAAAATATGTGATTCCCCCCCTCCTCGCTTTCTGAGTGCATATAGAGGAGAGACCTTTGGAGGGCTGAGTGGTGGGGGAGGGCAGCAGGACCTTCTCCCAGATCAGCTGCTCCTCTGCAAATGAAGAATTTCCAGAAAGTGCTGAGCTGGGCAGTTTGCAGCCAGCTCTGCCGGGCTGCGGCACAGCATCGCGCGGCTGGCTAACGGCGCTGGGCTCCAACGGGTCCCCGTGACGCGGTGCCAAGCCTGCAGGCCTTCAAAACACGTGGCTCATTAACAGAGAGCTTCAGCTACGGCTGGGGCTCGCACAGAGGGCAAGGTGCTGCCAGTGGGGGAGGGCAGCAGGACCTTCTCCCAGATCAGCTGCTCCTCTGCAAATGAAGAATTTCCAGAAAGTGCTGAGCTGGGCAGTTTGCAGCCAGCTCTGCCGGGCTGCGGCACAGCATCGCGCGGCTGGCTAACGGCGCTGGGCTCCAACGGGTCCCCGTGACGCGGTGCCAAGCCTGCAGGCCTTCAAAACACGTGGCTCATTAACAGAGAGCTTCAGCTACGGCTGAGGGCAAGGTGCTGCCAAATGTTTACAAGTCCTGGAGGACTCAGAAAGGGCCCAAGCTGCAAAGTTCAAGGGCAGACCCGGAGGCAGAGCAGTGCCGTGGTTAGCGAAGTACCCCAAGCCTCAAGTACTGCTCTGCTGTTCCCTGGTCCACCCCACCTTCACTTTAATAACAGGCTTGGAGTAGAGCCATAAGGATGCCCAGCTCCTCCCCCAGATACTAGTTAGGGATCTGTGTGGCTCTGGGTGCTATCTCCTCTATTCAATCTATATTCCCAGGTGAAGCCCCCACTCAAACAGCCAAGGATGCTCTAAGAGGCTGAGATGCTGCCATAATGACTCACTAGAAGTTGGACCCGAAGCTAAAACCCCAGCTCTGCACCTCCAAGACCATCCTACTTGGCCACAACAGGTCGATAGGTCCATAACACCATGATGTGCATCACCACCTACCCAGCCCCAGGCACCATCCCCTGTGCCAGGCAGCCGAGCCATGCTCTTCAGCACTGAAAATGAATGTCCTGGAAGTGCAGGCGCTAAAAAAAAAACCCTCCTTGTCGGAAGCACAGCAAAAACCCATCTGTGAGTGGAAGAGGTCAAAGAAGAATACAAAGGCTTTTATTTCCCGAGGCATTTGTCAGCAAGACAAATGTGTTTTTTTAAATTTGCTGTGTTTTCCTAGCTGGCCTCCCACGCAAACTCCAAATGGACTTTCACTAGCATGAAGCCGGGTGTTGGCTTGTGTCCTTTGTAATCCAACGCTCGAGGACTCAGACGAGGAATCAGCTGGATCACTGTTTATTATCAGTAAGCGGGGCATATTTAAAGGAAATGGGCAGATTTCAACACTACATCTATAACTAGTTTATTGCTGGCGCGTTCCTCTCTTGCCCTTATTATTTATGTTGAAAATGATAAATGAGGGATTGATGGTTCTAGCTGGTTTATGAATAATCAAGTTATTTCACTGGAAAGCCCCAGGGGAAGGTAATGTTTCTACAATCTTCCATCAAAGAGAATGCAGCTTGCACTCGTGTGTGTGTGTGTGTTGCTCATTCCTCTACTGTTTTGTGCTTGGCATGTTTTTGCACCCAGTGTGCCCCTCAACACCAAGTGTGCCCCTCCCCATGCTCTCCCACAGCATATCCCAGTGCCAAAACAGGTTTCCCAGTCCGTGCAGCCCCTTGGCATCGTCCCCTGCAGCCACACACGGGGTGTTTGGAGCAGTTTGCTCTCCAGTCCAGGAGGTGACGGGTGTCTCGGTGGCCCGTGCTGCCAGGCTGCGTGGTCACCGTGCAAGCCAGGTACTCTGCACAGAGGGCTGCGACCGCAGCAGTCAGCCCTGATCCCATTTGTATTTCAAGGAGCTGCAAATAGCCACTGGCTGGTCTTGGGATCTGCTTGTGAGACAGGAAGAGCCCTGGAAAGAAGATTTGAATGTTTATGTGTATAGAAATGTCTAATCACCGGGCTCAGAACAGGCTCAGGAAGGGAATCTGGAGGTGGTTAGCTGGAGAGGAGGATATTTTTATGCTAGAAATGTTCTGTCTGCCTGTATGCAGGGTAGGAAGGATACAATGAGAATCAAAGGCTTGGCAGGATGAGCATTTTCATCCTCGTAGATGTGAACTCCCTGTCTCTCTTGACTCAGAGGCGTGGAACTGTTTAGATCCAATACCATTATTAGAAGCAGAAAACAGAGCTCATAAAACTCCCTCCTTACGCCCCAAAAAAGCAATTCCAGGACTCTCTATCCCACTCGTGAACAAGCCATTCCAGCTTATGTTTCCCTGCTGTGGCCAGGCACGTTGCCAGGGGAAGGGGACTCAGAGCTTCAGCAGAAACTGTGCAGCCCAGGGGCAGGTCCTCGCTCCTCTCCTGTGTAACCAGACCAGGGGATTTAGAAGCAGGCAGGAGAGCTGGGGGATGGTTAACGTGGTGGCAAACCCACGTGGCCAGGCCATGGAGCAATCCCAGATGCTGCCTCTGTGGTGGGAATTGCTCACCCAAGCAACAGGCTGAAAATCAGCACTAGATGGGCTTCCTACCATGGCTGAGCAGACATTGCAGAGAGCAGTTCAGGAGTACCCGCCAAGGAAGCCACCATCTCAACACCAGACCAAGCATCCAGAGGCCCATGCAGCCACCCTGGGGTCAGCTAAGGTGCCCCCTGAGGAACTGAACCAGCATCATGGGACAAGAGGAGGTTGCAGAGCTGCATCTAGAGCATCTCAGGTGAGTTCAATCATCCTGAGATGGCTGTTCTGGGAGGTAGTTGTGGAGATGCATCTAGACCATCTCAGGTGGGTTCAATCATCCTGGGATGGCTGTTCTGGGAGGTAGTTGTGGACAGGTGGGTTCAATCATCCTGGGATGGCTGTTCTAGGAGGTAGTTGGGGAGCTATAAGGTCAGCTGCTCTGGGGTCAGAGGGACCTTGAGGTATATCTGCTGTGACAGACACCCAACCCAATCTGCTCCTCACAGAGATGGTCTTAGTGACAGCTCAGAATCCTGTCCCAGAGGGGATGCGGTTTGTGCATCAGGCCAGGTATGGTTCTGGTGGTTCTTTCACATGGGCACAGATTTGTGACATTTTGAGGACTGTGACACAACTTTCCTGCTGCTTGGCATTGCCTGGATCTTCCAAAGACACTTCTGCAGGTCCAGGCTGTGACTTCGCTATTTGCTGAGGATGCAGAGCAGAGCCCAAGGTCGTGCATGTGGTCCTTTCAAGCCCACGGCGTAGCAGCAGGTGGAAGTTTTTACTGCTCCAATATCAGGTAAGGCTCTTTCTCTGGCAAACAAACATTGTTTGTTGACTGAACATAGCTGTGGAATGAACTTTGATAAAGGCATCTGTTGTTCCCTTACAGCTCTGCTTTGTTGAGTGGAATGGGGATCCCAGCATGTGGGATTTTATTATTATTAAATTTGTAGCTGCCCATTATCAGCAACTTCTTTTAGGTGAGGCTTTTGGCATTTTACGCTCAGCATTCTTACTGTCTGTAAAACCAGCCTAAATCTTTCCTTCTGTTCGTAAAGGCATCTAGTCTAAATTCAAAGCCTATCCATTATAACTTCAGCACCTTGTAATCCCTCAGAGATATGTGCAATTACTCTCTGAAATATCCCAGGAGCAAAACTAATACCAAGCATCATCTGCTTAAATTTACAACATCCAAATGGCACAGTAAAAGCCACTAGCTTAGGGGTTAGCTCATCTGAGCGCACTTGCCAAAACACATATCCTGCATCTAATACTGCTTTTGCTGCTGAGGATTTAGCTGCCACCTCAGGAATCTTCATTGGACGGCATTCACGGTTTATGGTTTTATTTAAATAACAGGAGTGGATGCACATGTCCTTCATCTGGTGTTTGGGTTTCAAGCGTTGAACTCGCCCAGTCCGTACACCCCCTGCATTTCTGAGGGTGCTTGAGCACGAGCGTGTCGCCCATCCTTCATCCTAGGTGGCAGTTCAGCCATGATTTGTGTCAAAAAGCTTGGGATGAGGACACAGGCACTTCCCCTGCACCTGAAGCAAGCCTCTTGCATAACATGGCTTTCATTTTCCTTGCCATTCCTTGGAGTTTAACGGCTGTTTTCGTCCAAGTCTATTGACTTCATCCCTATAAATCCAATACGATTTTTCCATAAGGATTAGTGTCAGATTCTCCCTGCAGACATCTTAGGTCTTGGAAGACAGCTGAGCGCTCTACTAATAGCTGGCTGGCAAGCCTGAGGCATTTACAGCAATGGCTTTAAAACACACTCGCTGGCGAGGCAGGGTTTTAGCCCTGATGCAACCCATCTGCCTTGGCGACTCGGAAAGCCAGGACGTAGCAGGGTCCTGATACCGCACCAGGGTGTGGATACCCGGACACAACATGGGCTTTATGTCGCTTCTTCCTGCCCTTCAAGGCCATGGAAAAGCTGGGAGAGGAATTATCTAGGTTGAATGCCAGGGCTTCATAGTTGGGTCCAAGATAATCAAGCAGGAAGAGGGAAATTTAAGGTGAAGAAATGGTAAAACGGCCTCTGTAGGAAGAGTGAGTTTTGTGTCCTTTGCTTGAGCTATTTCAACTTTCCTTGGGCATATGTGACAGGGCAGGATTTACACATCTGAAACCACAGCCTCCTCACCACGGGGAGCTGGGATGAATCCCATGGGCAAGGGAGGGAGACACCAAAAACATTCCCTCTGGATGGGAAAAGGGCATTGGGGACCAAGTAAATGGGTAAGGAAGAGGAAGAAAACTCCAGATACATCAGCATGACAGTTTGAGCATTTTATTATGATATATAAATTTTGTCTTTTTAAATTACTCTCTATGAGTTGAACAGGAAGGGATTATTGTGGAGGGGGGAATATACAAAAATAAAAGGATATTGTGAACTACTGCATCACCACATATACAACAGTAAAGTACTTTACAAGCACTTAGAGAATCAGACTTACAAAAATAAAAAATATGACACATCCTTATGCATTTCCCCCAGTACTATGTTCTTTTCTTCATTCTCTAACCTTCAAACACCTTTCAGCCCCATCTTCAGGTCACAATTCATACGGTAGGATACTTTGCTCATGTTGATGGCCATCACAGTATCTGAAAAGGAATCAGTGCCTCCCAAGACTTAAAACATATAATGGTTATCGGAGAGCTTTAGGGGAGATGTTCAGAATAGATCAATTTGTGAGTGATGGGGTGATCCTCAGGAACCAGAGTTTATCTGGCAGTAGAAATGTGAATATCCCACAACAAGATCCCTCATTCCCTATAAAGTGTTCCCCCATCTCCACACAGAGACAGCTTTGTGTATCTGTGCTTGATACAGAGTTCCCTGCCAGCCTGGAGAACACTGGCACTCACAGACTTCAGCAGGACCGAGTAACTGTGACAGAGGATGGATCTGATTTTGTTTCAGCTCTAAAAAAGGCAAGGATGCTCTTCCCTGCAGGAAAAAAGGCAGGTTAAAACTACAATGGCTAAGTATCCTAGCTCACAGTGTTCACACGCAGAACATTCGCCTCTAGATCAGATTCATGCAGCCTTTAGTCATCAGTTTGCTCTACAAAGTCTTTTGCTCGTTAACCTTCTAGTGACCTTTCCCATTTTTTAAAGACACACTCAACATAAATAGTAAATAGCATTCACTTCTCTGACCAGCAGCTCACTCAAACACTGCTATCAACACCCAAACCTCATTTCATCATTCCCAGAAAGTATGCACCTAGGGTGCGAATCTGTATTTCACATTAAGAAAATTAGAGCTGGCTTAGGAAAAAGAAAAAAAGGAAAAAGATGAAAGAAGCAGTAAACTGTTTTGGTCAAAGCTGCTCTTTGCGCTTTGTGCAAAGTATTCTGTAGATTCTGAAAGGTCAGTATTTCGATAGGGTTCCCTCTTTCTGGCCCAAACACAATGACAGCAATGCAGGCAGACCAGACACAAGCGTGCTCTGTTGCATTCAGGGGCAAAGCAATCACAGGAATGAAGGGATGAAGGGGAAACCCTTCACCTTTGTGATAGACAGTGACTTTCCACATCGGAAAAAACAACTTTTCCCACCCCCAAAACAGATGCCTTCTCAGAAAGCTGCTGATCTCAAAAATAACTATTGATGGAAAGTAACTCCTGGAGGCAGAGTCTGACTTTACCTATCAGGCTTACAGGACTGTGCGCAACAGGCACTGTAATATGCTGGGGAGAAGTTGTGTAGCCACAGTCCCAGCTGCTCAAGGAAATTCAGCTTTCTAAGAAGCATTTCCATGGTCTAAATTTATCACTTGTATCTTTGAGAAAATATACACAAAGATCTGTTGTTTGAGATGATTGATGCTCCATTTAAAAGAAAAACACCTCTCTAGTGGGACTAATCATTCCTTTTAGATATACAAACATACTACAGGTAAGGCGCTTCTTGGTTGCTGGGAACGATTCTTAATTGGCACCACACAAACACAAAATTCAGTCTCTGGTGTTTACACAAAACAGGTCATTGCTTTTCCCAGTCATAAGCAAGGTGAGCTTTGGCTCTTCTACCACCACCTAACCCAGCCACCGGAATAGGAGCAATAGGGACAGAGGGTGGGCAGGCAGGGTGGGATCTGTGCCTACATGACAGTGAAGACCTTACACTCTGTGGTTTTCTTCTCCTCAGGAAAAACAAAGTCCCTTTCCAAGGCCAGCTTTCACTGAGAAGAAAAGCAGCTCGTGATGGGCCCATGGGAGATACCACGTAATAAGGTATTTTTTCAAAAATTTTTACACATCTCAGGCACTTGGCAATGTCACAATCTGGATGTGGTCCAGGGTGGTAGCCCAGCATGGCCTGTCCGTGTCTCCACAGCTCAAAGTGTGTTCAGCAGCCTAGAAACGCAAGCGGCCGACTGGCTTTTTTTTCTTAACATGGCAAAACAAGAAAAGCTGCTTAAGCTCCAAGAGGCAGGAGCATGTTAGGTCATTTCTAGTCTATTTGCAAAGAAAACAAAACATGATGTGTCAAAGGCACCTGGCTTGGATGTGTGGGGACCCTTCAGTGTCAAAGATGCAGCCCACCATTGAACCCTCCTGGGGTCACATCTACTTGTAAGACTTTGCCTTAGCAGCCCCTGTCCCTGCGAGGTCAAAGACCAGGCTGTGGTTCAGGTCTCTCCACTGGATTGTATTTGCACACTCCTTTTTTGGGGAGTGGGTTGAATTTTTTTTATGTTATAGCCAGTGTTTAGGAAGCAGAACTAACAACGGACAAAGTGGGCAGAAGCCTGCAGCTGGGGAAAACCTGTCCTGCTCAAAGACCAGCATGATCAAAACCTGCAGCAGGGGAATAATCCAACTGTTAACAGGAAAAAAGCCTGATGTATGGTGAGAATAGGGAGTCTCTGGCATCCCTTCAGCTTGGAGGTCAGCCTGTCTCCATGCCTGCTCAGTGGAGATGGCTGCTATGTAATCAGTCATTGTGCAGGGATCTCCTGGGTGTGAGTATTGGCCCTGCTTTTGAACCTGGATTATACCATCACTCAGCTTGGAAACCCTTTGCTACAGACTCTCCCAGGTGCATGGAAAGAGCCCTCCAGAGCCTTCACAACGTCCCCTGGAAGGCAGGTGAGTTCCAATGGTCACAAGGCTCGCTCACCAGCACTTGGCAAAACAAGATAGACCTCAAGATGAGCTATCAAGTAAGCACATCACCAACCTGCATGGCACTGGGACCACATTCAGCCTAGCTTCTGCTGCCCCGCTGTCTAAGCTAACCCCACAGCATTTGTGTTTGCTGGAGCTCTGGGGAGAGGGGTTGCCTCAGGCATAATAATCCCTTTGCGGGCAGATGTTGCTTTTCCAAGCTTTGATGCTGACAGTCAATGACAGCAAAATCTGAGCAATAACATATATAATCCTTGTTTCTGTGTTGCTGAAAAGAACTCAACAGTAGGTGGAAGCCTTGGAAATCCTTTGAGAGATTTCTCCCTACCAAGTCTCAACTCCCAAAAAGAGAGGTGGAGTTCATCACTGCCACAGCACACATCTTTCACTACTAATGATGCTTCAGCTGTCAGGGTTTAACTTTGTATATAAAGACCTTATATTTACCTCTGGTGGAAAAAATTGTGCTTCATTTTAAACAAGAGAACTCTGTTTCATAAAGGTCACAGTTCTGGTCATATTTACCAATTGCCTTTTGAAACTGATGGAAAAAGTATCTTTATAAGTCACTATTTAATTATTTTTTTTAAGTTTGACAGATATTTTTTTTTTAATCTCCATGGGTTTGTGCGTCAACTGTTCTGGGCAATCATCTATGTCTTGTTGACATTGTTAATAGGTTTTCTGACTTGGCTGCTCAGTTGTGTTCTGAAATAACTCAATCAGACTCACAGCAAGTCAGGAACAAAATGGAAAGTTTAGAAGAGGGAAAGCTGGAAATTAATTTCCAGAGCTGTGTGGTTATTTTCTAAGTCTTGGCTCTTCTGAGCAGCATGCAAAAATTCTTGGTGAGATTTTTGGAGACAATTCCATGCCATTTTCAAAGGTTACTTGTTTGTAGGAATCCAGGCTCTTGCAGATTTTCAGCGAGCTATTGAAGTGAAGAGGTACCGGGAGATGTGAGTCATGAATGGGGAATGGTTGACCTTAGGATGGCTGTAGTGACTCCTGCTCTATGTTTCCTACCAAAAGACAGCTCAGCTGTTTGTGAAGTACCTGTTGAACTGCTACACCCTGGCCAATTAAGGAAAACCTGCAGAGATTTGGGCTCTTCAATACTTCATGCTCTACGCTGAGAAAGTTTGGCTGCTCCTCCACAGTCAGCGAAGCCGTGCACCTCACAGGTATGGAAACTACTGAGAGGGTGAGCAGCCTTGCTCATGACCTTCTGCACTAGCTTCTTTGAAGCCAGACAGCATCTTCCTGTGCTACACTCCTCATGAGCAGCCTTGCTCATGACCTTCTGCACTACTTCTTTAAAGCCAGACGGCATCTCCCTGTGCTACACTCCTCGCTGCAATACCCTGAAACTCAAAAGGGTTGCAAGTGCACAAAGGTCCCTGGAAATTGGGTGTTTGAGACAACAAACAGCATGGCACACTTGGACTGAAAGTACTTTTAGAAAAGAGCGCTGGGCTCTTAAATCACTTGGACGCTTTTAGAAAATAGCCCTTCAGCTATTCAGATTCTTCTGTCTCCCCTGTGTATGCTCTTGGCTGGGCTTGCAGAAGAGGTGGCCATGCGTCAGGGTAGGCCTTTCTCCCATCTCCTGGTTGTGCTGTGCCTTTCTATGGTATATAAACATTTACCTGCTCGCAAAAGCACTGTGTGCCTGTTCTCCTCCTCTTTTTCTTGGTGACAGTCCCCACTCCTCCCAGTAAGTTAGGTCTGAGACTACTGCAATAGTGTGATATTGCAGCTATCTCCCAGATGAGCTGTTGGAGCAAGCTGTAATGTATTAATACAAATAACTGCCTCCTCTGCATTTACACTCTAGGAGACCTGCCTTGGTGTGTGCTGGGCAGACTGGACGCTGACTCTACAGTTGGTGTTCCCTTTGCAGAGATTTACAGGGAGTCTCACCTATGTGCTTAGATGAGACCTACAGAGCTCACAAGGCAGCACTCTGCTATGGATAATAGGGTCCTTTGTCATCTTGATTTCATCTAAATACAAGTCAAAAATAGATACACTTGGAAAAAAGAACAAAAATAAAATCCAGACCATGAATGTCAGGAACGTCACAAAATACAAGCCAGCCTCTCACTGATCAAAACCATCCCATGCCCTGCAAGTGCCTCCCAGCCAGTTCAGCCTCACCCAAGACAACATGTTCTCCAGCCACTAATATTCAGTTGCCATCAATGAAGGCCCAGCCAGAGACCCAGCAAAGGCCACAGCCTCCTTGAGGTCACAAGGTTGCCAGCCGCAGGGCGGATCAGAGGGTCTCGCTGTAGATGACGCACGGGCTGGTTTCCTCGCAGAGTTCCAGCTGCACACTGGAAGCAAACCAACGCTTGGCACAACCCAAGCTGTAGTTGAGGGTGGTCCGGTAAATGTTCTTGGCACGCTTAGGAAAAATGATGGTCGTGCTCTGAAACCTCAGTGGCTTCTGGCGGGGCTCAAAGATCAGCTGGGACTTGTAGTTCCGCCAGGTGCAATTGGGAGCAGCAATGACTGTCTCGCTGTAGGTGGTGACGGTGGGGATGGGGCCGTAGAAGATGTCATCCCGATAATGCTTCTCAGAGTCGTACTTCACCTCGGAATTGCACCTACAAAGCACAGCAAGCTATCAGGAACACAGTGCAGGCAGCAGTGGAGAGAAGATAGGGCAGGACTCCTTTCTAACCCTTTGGAGATGGTGACTTTTATGACCTCTTACTGCACAGACACTGGGGCAGGGGCCGACCCTACCACTCCTGCTGGTGAATTTGAATCTTGGGGGAATCCCACCTTGCTGTGAGTCCATCTCAGCATTTCTGCAGTGCATGTGCACAGAGGACCAAGCCCGCCTGATCATGCCAGGGCAGAAAAGGCTCCAAGCAACATATGTCTTCCTCTGGTTTCCCCCATGGGCCCCACTGGGGCCTCAGCTGGGCCTGGAGAGCTGCACTGGAGGCAAACACCCTGTTAGCAAAGGACATCAAGAGGTGGTGAAACTCCTCAGCTGGGGTAGGTCAGAGGAATGAACATTCACCCATGGACTATACAGGAAAAGATTGAAATCCCAGGAAAATTCTTGATCCAGCCTTTTCCTGAGCATTTTTAACAAGCACAGCCAAGCAGCATCAATTTGAAATGTTGAGGGACCCTGCGAAACAAAGGTCCCCTGATCACTAACTCATGGTAGGTCTCACCACACTCCCTACTGCTAGTGTTAGGCTTGGGGGATGTCACTGCCCAAGCAACCAGGCTGAATAGATGCTGCTGGTGGGCCACGGTCATGGGATGTCACACTGGGGTGAGAGGGAACTTATTTCTCAACACAGCACGCCCGCTGCTGCTTTCACAGGCCATGTTGTCCATGCAAGCTCTGGCTTGGCAGGAAAACAACATAAATAAGGTTTTCATAGATGGCAGTAGCATGGTGTAATGGACACTTGTTGAGTTATCAAAGCTGTGTGTTTGTCTTTTTCTTTATATTGCCTTGCCATCAGAGCACAAAGATGCCCAAACCAGCTAAAATTAGAGTGCGGGGAGATGAGGGTTCAGGTTGCTTGCTGGGGCCTACAGAAAATCGAAGCAATGGTCAAATAGAAGGTAAAGCAAACGGATGCTGTGCACTTTGGCTGTCCAATATCCAAGCCATTGGTCTCAAAAGAAGTGGCCCTGTTAACAGACGTCATATGTCTCTGCTGGCCTCCAGAAGGGATGTATGGAAACCAGGCCACATAAAGGGCTTTCCCTAGAATCCCTGGCCATGGGGAGCAGCAGGACTTTCACTTGTTTTCCCTGCTCCCCAAACGCTCCTCTGGCAATCAGCAGCCAAGGAATGTGCAGCTCCACGTAAAAAAGATTAAAAGCTGGGTGTGTGCTTGTCATTACCTCCACCCGGAGGGGGTTTGACTGATTGTGCACTGCATGTAATCTGAGCTGCTGTAATGTATTTTGCACAGCTAGGGTGTAAGCAAGTCATTCAGCACACATAAAACAAGACTCCGATGTAATCACCATAAAAACATGCCTGCTGGCAGTTCCTCAGCAAGCAGAGATTTACAGGGGTGCATTTCCAGAGAGACGTTTGCATAGGTTGAGGGGAGTGGGAATTGGGCTCACGGTCCTCCCACAGTCCCTGCCCCAAACTGCTCCATGCTGTTTGCAGAGTATATTCCACACCAGCAAAAATGCGTAAGAAGAGCAGAGACCAACACTTACTCATTGGCCACAGCACCAGCCTCACAGGAGGTCAGAATACCTCCATCACTGGCTTGAGGGAACTCATCCTGTCTCTGTGGGCTGGTCTAATGCTGGTTTCTCTGCTGCAAGGGCTAACGTAAACAGGTGTCAGTTATAAGGGGTTTGATTCTTCTGAGGATATAAGTCAGCAGGGAACAGGATGAGACCATCAGGTTACTTAGTGGAGGCCACCAAGCCTACAGATGGTCGTGTTTTTCTATCATAGCCTTGGATTTGAGCTGCCCTTGGAGGGAAAGTCTTCTCTTACAGGCTCCCTTCAGTTCTTGCCTTCTCCCCTCCACCTCTGCTGCTGTCAATGTCTTTAATTCAGGCATTACTCTCCCACCTGTCCCTCCCTTCCCATCAAAATAACCACACCTTCCATTCCTAAACACATTTTAATTTTTTTGCAGAAGGAAAAGCACCAGGAAAAAGACAGAAATCCCCACCTACCCACCCCATCCCATCTGTACCTGATTTCCTGCACAGGCTCAGGGCTGACCTCAATGCTTTCTCCAAAAAACACAGGGTACATTCGAGGCCTCATCTCTGGCATGGATGGGTTCAGGAGCAGGTAAGGCATCTGCAGGGAAGAGGAAGACAGCAAGCGTTGGGACACAACAAATGAGGCTGGCACGCTCAGTGCTGGCAGGAGACACCAGTGCCTCCAACCTTGCCGACCTCCATCTCCTCAGAGTCCCATGGGAGACACTGCAGGTAACAGGCTCTTTGGCAATGAGAACAGGTGACTGTGGCACCATCTGGGCCAACTTTGTTCCATGCAAGCTAAGCTTGCCTTGCTTGCGCTCTCAGCACCATTCAGCCTTGCAGTCCCTGTCTTTTCCAGGTTTGTAGCAGGGCCCCAGGTTAGCAAGGTGTTCATCACACCGAGGAAGGCACTCTTCTCCATGCCCAAAGGGGAGGACCATTGTCAAGTTGCCAAAAAACAGCTATAAGATGGTTGGCAGAGAACAGGACCACTAACCCCCACCCCTGCACAGATAGGCCTTGTACAGGATTTGCATTTAAGATGCCTTGACTTTCTGATCTGCCACCTGTGGCTGTACCAATTTCCAGGCTGACTTCCAGCTCCCAAGTCTGAGGAGACACAGAAGGTATCCTTCACCCACCAAGACCACCCTCTCCACCTCCCTCTGCCCAGCACGTCACCCCAGGTAAGTGACTCTGCCCAGATCTCTGGCACTCCATCCTGCCGCATCTGTCCACTGAAATTTAGCCTGCCCTTCCCTCTTCCTTTCTTGTTTCTCATAGGAATTGCAATTGTTTGGGGATTTTCTTTAGCCCTGATGATGTTGCCTTCACTTTTCACTGTTATGCACTATCAACTCTTACAAAGACTCAAAGCACACCAGCAAGGAGAAGTGCCCCAAATCTGATGTAACATGGAGATAAGACCTACCTCTGCTGACTTAAAGGACATAGGCCTATGTAAGTGAGATGTGTATATGTATTTATATATATATGCTGAAAATAATGTATCCCTTGCAACTATCCAGCAGGCAAAGTGGTAGATTTGCTATTGCCAAAAAAGGTTGTCGTGCTCCAAGGGACATCTAGTTAACCACGCACAACTGAGTGCGGGGTGAGACACTGGGGCACCTTGTGGCCTCAGCAATGCAGGAAACCAGTTCCAAGCCAGGACTTTTTAACGACTAGACCCACTCCAACTCATGACACCAAAAACTGGATTTTTAAGACTAATTACACCCTTAAGTTAGTTATTCTGATAGATTGTCACAGTCCAGCCTAGGCTCCTCTGCCCACTACAAAAATGAGCATTCCTACTACTCTATACTGGAGTGCTCTTAAAAATCTGTCCCCACACATAGGGAGCTTGTGTCTGGTGTCTGGACCAAGCCCAGCAGCTAATTAAGCCTAATCCTGCCCTCCTGGAAAAATGTCATTGCAGGTTTTAGTCCCTGCCACCACTTTTCTGTCGGCAGTGATTTATGACACAGGGACACAGGATCTCTTTACAGGAGATGGCTGGCAGCCTCTGTGCAAGATTGAAAGGTCTCTAGATGGCTGAAAAGTAAATAGAGTTTTTCCACCTTCCACCCTGCATAGGTCATATGTGCGAGAATCCCAGTCCTTTTTCATCAGTGTAAGTCAGTAAGAACATCTCAGGGCTCACAGAACCCTCTACAGGAGATGAGGGCATGGCTCCTGTATTGCCACTCCCTCCCACCTTCCCCAGCATCTTCTGGTTGGGTGGTACAGGGGGCAACACCGGAGCTGTGACCTGGTTCTTACTGGCAGCGCTGGCAAGAGGTACTGCAGCTTGTGCCATACGGTGTACAACATGCAGGTCCCCAAGTGCTCACCAGGTTATCCCTCAAGTTGCTGTTAACTGACAAAGCTCTGTTGAGTCCACTCAACAGCATCAGTTCCCACTAGCTGAGGTCTGGTTTTCTCTAGTGGCTTGGGCTTTCTCAAGTGGCTTGGCTTAGGCTCAGGCAAAAAATGTCATTGCTTCATCTGAATTCACCAAGCCCTTCGATTCTTTGTCCCAAAGCCACAAAGCTGTTTATTCTTTCCATACTGAAATTTCCCTGCACTTTACTACTGTGTTAAACTGTAACATAAAATGGCCAACCCCTCCTTTTGATTGAATATTTCTGTTCCATCCTCAGAAAAGTACAGTATTTGCATATGCAGGGGAAAAAAAATAAGGAAAAAAAAAAAAGAAGGTATGTTCACCCTCACTATCAAACACTGGCCAAAAGGCAAAGTTCATGCCTGGATTGCTTTCAACACTCTTGACAGGGGAGGGCAAGGGCAGCCTTTCTGGTTGTAAATAAAGCTCTTGCTTCTGAAATGTGAGTTGTTTAGATCAGACAAGCCTCAGTTCACAAGGGTGCAGATCTCCAGCTTTTAACAGTCCACACATGGCCAGAGCTCTTTCTAAAGACATCTTGTACATGAGGAGAGGTTGATTTGGGTGCAGGAGTCAAACACCATGTGCACATGGCAAGCTTTGGGGCGTTCACGTGCAAAGATATGCAAATTGCTTTAAGTGGTGAAGGAAGAAAGGCTGGAGGTATGTGACACTCCTCCAGGAGACTTTCTTCTTCTTTATACTCCTGTGGCCATACCTGACATTGGCAAAAGTGCAATTGAGAACCTGCCCTCTTTTTACACTGTGCGCACTTAAGGAGAGGTCTTGTCCAAAACTGGTCTCTGCTTGTAGATAAGGTGAGAAAATTATCAACTCTCCTCCTTCCTTTGAAAAGTACAGCTCAGCAAAAGGTTTTTCTTACTCCCAGACGAAACACTGAATATGCACAAGACATAAAGGTGGGCCTTGTTGTTGCAGAACACAACTGGGAAGGCTCCTGTGGCCCAGCTTCTAAACAACAGATGTTTTCAGGCCATGCTGCCAAAACTGATTGCAAAATCAGATAACCAGAAAAAAGGTTGGGAGGCACTGGTCTGAGCAGCACAGGCATCCCAATGTTGTCTTACTGTAAGTTTAGCCTATGGGACTATCTTTACTTCGCTGGCCAGGGACAAGTGAAGATTGGGTGATTTAAGCTGCTTTTCAGATCCAGATTAGTTTGCCAGAATGCTAAAAAATTATCTCAGATGGTAACCATGAGGTTCTCTGATAGATTAACACAGGAAAAAAACCAGATCTCTTAACAGTTCCGCAAAGGGCATCTGTAAAGTGCAGCTTTAAAGAAGCAGTTTTAAAGAATCCACGTCAGTGCTTCCAGGCAAACAAACCTTCACGCTTCTTGCTAACATATGCTGACACCAAGCGTGCTCAGAATATCCCTGGAGACGAAGATGCAGGAGGTGAAGCCCTTCTTGTGGCTTAGCAGGAGCATTGCTGGGGCATCTGGCCCCCTGTTTTTGTACAGGAACAGGGTTCAGAGCCCGCTGCGTGCCAGGGGTCTGCTCAGTCACCGCCTGGGCACAGAGGCAACCGCCGTCTGTCGGAATCACAAGTCCCACAGCAGGGAACAGGAAACAAGAACATGCTGCAGAAACAATACCAGTGTGCGTGGAGAAACGGAGGCTCCGTCATGCTTGACTGAAATCAATCACAGTCCAAAAGCTGCCACTGAATTTGGTGAGAGCAGGATTAAGTCTTCTCCAGGTTAGTTCTGGATGGAGTGGTGATGAGACTATTTTCATTGTGCATTATGGTTTACCTTGCTCTGGGCAGGGAAGGGTGACAAAAGGCATTTCATAATGCATTTCATATGCTGTAAACGAGCATCAACTTAAGACCTGCAGGCTTGGCTTGATTAATTTAGAAAGTTGGAACAATTGCAGACATTGGGAAGCCAAATCCAGCAACTTCTACCACCCGTCAGAGACCATTACAGATTCACACTTATCTACCAGAAGTAGTACTGTGAGCTGCTGCAGGTCAGAAACCTTGAAGTCACCTGGAAATCTGCTCATGGAAGACATAAATAACTTAGAAAGCATGGTCTAAAAATAGAGATCATCTGCAAGACCCTGCAGTCTGCTCAGCAAACAAGCAACTGCATTGCTTAAATGGAGTGAAAGGGTCACTAAACAGCACAGTTTTACATGGCAGCAACTGAAAGGCACTTCGGATGACATTTTGTTTCACCTCCAGTGAGGTCCTGAAATATCTGCTCTTACATCTCACCTGCAGTTCGGAAAGCAAGGAATAGGTGACATGAGCTTTCCAAAAGATTTGTCTTTAGGGCTGAAATGTTATATGCTTGGCACATGTCAAAAGCTGCCTTTTTGGCAAGAGTTTAACACCAGCTCCTTCCAATCTGTTTTCAGATAAAAACAAAACAAAAATGTTCTGCCTGTCAAAAAAATACTGACTCAATTATTTTTCCTTCTGCCCAGGAATCGTTGAAAGAAGAGGAACACCGACTGGACTGCTGAGCTCCCTGGAGAAAATTATGATCCTTGGCTCATTTCTAACAATCACTTGGTGATGTCCGGATGCTTCAGAATTAAGGTGAGTTTGTTTATTACCCTGCACCACAGATGGGCTGGCAGGGAGTAGAGCTTCTTCCACACTATTGGGGGTCATTGATGGTGAAGAGGAGAAACCCACATATCTTTAGACCAGGCTGTGCACAAGTGATCCACAGGCGAGGTCTGTCTATCCAAAGAACAAACCCTGGGGTTGCTACAGCTGGGACCTGATTAATCTGTCCCCAATAACTGCAGTTGTGCTGTTACTTATCAGATGCAGCTCTGCAAAAGCCACCACAACCCTGTCCTCTTTATGCAGAAGAGGAGGAATCTGGTAGTCCAGGAAGGTTGAGGAGGTGGAAGGGAAGATACTGGAGAGATAGAAAAGCAAGCCCCACACGTACATGGTATCCCCTCAAAACAGAGCCGAAGTTAAGATTAAGCAGTAAATGTGCTGTCATTTTTATTTCATTTCCATTTTGTTTCAACCAGCAAAGGGTTACAGTATTATTAAAAAGCTGAAGTGCTTTCTTGTTTGGCTGCATTTTTCCCTCTGTCTTAACTCCAATGCCTTTCAGGCATGTAACAGCCTGGGCAGCTAAACTCCGCTTTTTTTCAAGTAGCACATAGATAAACACAGATAAAATC